ATCTATTTCTTCAGAAACTTGCAAATAGTGGACTGAGTGACACTGGCATAAGATGCATCTTCTACACATTTTGTGAAGTAATCGATGGCTACAAGGATGAAACGGTGACCATTTGAAGCCTTTGGATGAATTTGCCTGATAATGTCCATGCCCCACACAGAGAAAGGCCATGGTGACGTCATTACATGAAGTGGATGAGGTGGAACATTGATTTTATCTCTGTAAATCTGACATTTATGACATCTTCTAGCATAGTTGATGCAATCACTTTCTAGTGTGGACCAAAAATATCCGCATCTCATTATTTGTCTTGACATCATATGTCCGTTTGCATGTGCTCCACAAACTCCATCATGTACTTCTTCCACTATCATTTTTGCCTCTTCAGCATCGACGCACCTTAACAGGACTTGATTATGGCTTTTCTTGTATAAAACCTCTCCGTCAAGGGCATATCCAACTGCCATCCTTCTAAGGGTTCTCTTATCGGTTTCAGTGGCCTATTCTGGATAACTCTGATGCTTGATATACTGCAAAATGTCGTAGTACCAAGGCTTTGTGTCTTTCACTTCTTCAATTTGGTAACAATGAGTCGGGTACTCATACGACTGCATGTTAATTGACATCATTTTAGACTCCCGCCAGCTTTGAATGCGGCTTCCAAGACAGCTAAAGCGTCAGCCATTTGATTTTCTTCTCTAGGCACGTAATGGAAGGTGACTTCGTCGAACTCTTCGAGCAGATTCAGTACTAGTTTTTGGTACTCTAACAGCTTTACATCCTTGGTTTTCCACTCTCTGTGGAGCTGATAGATTACTAATGTTGAATCTTCATATATCCGCAAGGTCTTTATGCTTTACCCTAATGCGGCTCGGATTCCCAAGACACATACTTCATACACTGCCATGTTATTGGTGCAATCGAAGTTGAGTCGGCTAGTAAATAGGTAGTGACTCCCTTCTGGAGAAATTAGGATAACCCCGATGCCATGTCCTAATGCATTTGACGTACCATCGAAATGCATTCTCCAGGAACTATCCGTTGAAGTCCCTGCTTCTTCTAAGGAGATAGCCATCAAGTCTTCGTCTGGGAAGTCAAAGTCCAAAGACTCGTAATTCTCATAGGTTCTGCTGGCTAAGAACTCCGATATGGCACTTCCTTTGATTACTTTCTGGCTCATGTACTCAATGTCAAATTTCGACAAGAGCATCTGCCATCAGGCTAACCTTCAAGATAAAGTAGGTACACCCATCATGTATTTCAGAGGATTTAACTTGGAAATCAGCCAAGTAGTGTGGTACAACATGTATAGTCGGAGTCTTTTTGTAGCCCAGACTAAAGCACAGCAGACCTTCTCGATAGGAGGATACCTTACCTCGCAATCGGTGAACTTCTTGTTTAAATAGTAGATGGCTCTTTCCTTCTTCCCGGATTCATCATGTTGTCCTAGGACACATCCCATGGAGTTCTCGAATATGGAGAGATATAAGAATAGAGGTTTGCCCAGAATAGGGGACATCAGGATATGAGAGTGAGACAAATACTCCTTTACTTTCTCGAATGCAATATGACATTTTTCATCCTATGCTCCTGGATTGTTCTTTCGGAGAAGACGGAAGATTGGGTCACACTTATCGGTTAACTGAGATATGAACCGAGCTATGTAATTAAGTATACCTAGAAAACCTCGGACCTCTTTTTGTGTTCGAGGTAGAGGTAGATTCTGGATAGCCTTAACTTTGTCAGGATCAACCTCAATGCCTTTTCTGCTGACCACGAAGCCTAACAGTTTCCCAGATGTCACCCCGAAGGTACACTTGCTAGGGTTCAGTCATAGCTGGAACTTTCTCAACCTCTGGAAGAGCTTCCTCAGATTCTCGACATGTTCATTCTCGGTTTGTGCCTTGACAATCATGTCGTCGACATAAACTTCTATCTCTTTATGCATCATGTCGTGGAACAGGGTCACCATAGCTCTTTGATATGTTGCCCCAGCATTCTTTAGTCCGAAATGTATCACCTTATAGCAGAAGGTTCCCCACATTGTGACGAACGTGGTTTTATCCATGTCTTCAGGATGCATCTTGATCTGGTTATATCCCGAAAATCCATCCATGAACGAAAAGAAAGCATTCCCGGCTGTATTATCTACTAACGTGTTAATGTGAGGCAGAGGAAAATTATCTTTAGGGCTCGTCTTGTTAAGGTCCCGATAATCAACTCACATACAAACCTTCCTATCTTTTTTCGGAACTGGCACTATGTTAGCAACCCATTCTGGGTACTTGGCCACTTGAAGGAAACCGGCATCGAATTGCTTTTTGACTTATTCTTTAATTTTAAGGAGCATCTCATGTCGCATCCTTCTCAGTTTCTGTTGCACGAGTTTGTACTCTGGCTTAATTAGCAGTTTATGAACTACCATATCTGTGCCTAGTCCCGGCATGTCTTGATATGACCAGGCGAACACATCTATATACTCCTGAAGTAAGACTATCAGGTTTTGTCTAGCTTCAGCCGAGAGAGTTGTACCGATTTTAACCTCTTTTCTGTCATCTTCAGTGCCCAAATTCAAGATTTTTATCGCTTCCTCATGTGGTAGAATTTGATTCTCCTCTCTTTCTACCATCCTCAACAATTCGGTAGGCAAGTTACACTCATCTTCAGTGTCGCATTCATCAAATTCCCCGAGGCAAATGGCTGATTCAAAATCCACTTTCGGATCAAGATCATCAGTGCCTACATTATCGTTATCTGGGGTCCTGAAGGAACAAAGAAGGTATGGGTGTGTGAGAGGAAATATCCCACATGAAACGGTCAAAGAATTAAATTTGACAGAGAAATAGAAATGAAGTGCTGAAATGAAGAAAATAGACAACGAATTTAAAAAGAAATAAAAGAAAATTTGTTTGCCATGGACATAGGAAAAAATGCATCTTTTATTGAATTTAGACAAAATGTTTATTCACTCTTACAAAAGATCACCTATTACCCCGGGTATAGGCAAATAGGGATAGTTTGAATATTACTCTGAAGGTTCTTGTAAACCATAGATAGCTCTTCCACCGACCAACTGCTGGGCACGAACCCAGGTGGCAGGCGGCATATCCTGGATTTGTCTTTGTTGTCAACATCTTCTGTGGTCATGACATTAATGTTCAAATCTTTCAGAGCTACTTCTAAATCGGATGAGGTGGTCTCGAACACATAACCAACTGACTTGAATGTGCAGTAAAGAGGCGGGAATGCCATGGGTTCCCGTTAAAGTTCACCTCCAGTTAACTTGGCTAGTCTTCTTTCTCGGTTATTCTGGACTTCCTTTATCTTTTCGTGGTAACTGGTCTGAAAACCGAGCCCAAACTGATCTAACTTCAAAATGGGAAGGACTGGATTAATCCTTCCTTGTAGCTGTTTCCCAAACCCTCTTCTAATTTTAGCACTTCAGCCTAAGGTTTGCTTGAACTCTATCTTTGTGTATTTAGAGAGTCGGGGTTTAGGAATCTTCTTTCCCTTTGCCACGAATGTGGCATTCACAAATTCCAATGAGCGGAATGAGCACTCCACCGCTTCTTCGTCTACTTCGATGTATGGGGCCTCCGTGGTCACAATTTCCACGATATCTTCTTCAGCGTTGATAATTACCAAGGCCCCATCGATAACAAATTTAACTTTTTGATGCAGCGTGGAGGGTACTGCACCTGCTTGATGAATCCATGGCCTTCCTAAAAGACAACTATAGGATGGCATGATATCCATCACAAGGAATTCGACGTCATAGGTGGCAGGTCCGATGGCCAACGGTACCTTAATCTTGCCAATAACCTCTCTCTTAGTCCCATCAAATACTCAGACCACGTTCTGACAGGCTCTCATATGAGATGTATCTATTGGCAGCCTCTTCAATATCACCAAAGGCATCACATTCAGGGCTGAACCGTTATCGATCAACACACTCGGTAAGGCATACCCCTTACAATAGGTAGTGATGTGTAATGCCTTAGTTCGGCCTCTTCCTCCGGATGAAATCTCATCATCTAAGAATGAGATGAGATTATCAGCTTGAATATTGTTTACGAGTCAATCCATCTTGCTGACTGGTATGTCTTGCGGCACGAACATTTGATTTAGGACTCTCAACAGTGCTTCTCGGTGTGCCTCCGAGTTCAAAAATAACGCTAACATTGAAGTACGCGTAAGTAAATTGTGGAGCTGTTCTACAATGTTGTATTCATTGTGCTTCAAGATCTTGAGGAACTCTTTAGCTTCTTCCTCCTTTATGGGTTCGTTGATAGCTAACACATCTTCTTTGAATGGCTCAAGTGGTCTTTGTCCCACTTTGCCATCACATCCTTTAGAAGTACTCACTTGGCATTCGTACTTCCATGGCACTTATCAATTGTCCTTGTATTGAAAAGGTCGAGGTGTTGTGATAACCACCCTAGCTTGTGTTGTTGTTGTCATTTTCGCTTTAGGGGTAATTATTAGAGGACCACCCCTGCCATACTTATTGTCAGATGATTCTTCGGAAGCGCAAACATCTTCTTCCGAAGAATCTTGAATTTCCTTGTAAAATTCCAGCTCTTTCCGGTCCATCATGAGCTGGACTAACGAAATGAACTCTGGGCATTCTTGCACATTATGCCCCTCTTCGTTGTGGTAACAACAATAGTTACCATCTCCTATCCTTATTGCCCGTGAATGGGGTGTAAGAAGCCCCACCTTTACCATTTGGCTCCATACCCAAGCCAAAGGAGCTTTAACTTCTGAAACACAAGTTTTGACTCTCTTGCCATTCTCTGTGGTGATTGCGTTGATCTCGGTCTCTAGATGATTAGGCAAGGGATTTTGGGTAACGTTCGGTGCCCCGGAGTTGAAATGAATCCAATTCTTGTTTCGCATTCGTTGCACAAGTCTCTTGAATGCGAGACAGTTTTCGATTGAATGCCCCTGCACACCTCCATGATATTCGTAGTGGGCATTTTTGTCATACCACTTCGGATATGGGGGCTTTATCAGATCTATTGGGTAGGGTGATAATGCGTGAGTATCGAAGAGTTGTTGATATAACTCTTTATAGCTCATAGGAATGGGATCAAATTGCTCCCTTTCCCTTTCTCTGCTTGGTTCTCTATGAGATTGGTTAGAAGTACCAGATGGTATAGCTGTAGTTGTTTTTGAATTTGAGATCGTAACACCTTTGCTAGCGTTGTAGGTGTTGACATTGTTGATCTCGCGGTCCTTGTTCTTCACGGGAGGCTTTCTACTATAGTCACCCCCTCAATCTTTCCTTGTTTTGTGGCCAGTTCAACCATCTCACCGGCCATGACTAAATCTGAGAAACTTACCGACGTGATTGCTAACAAATGCCTGAAGTAAGGTGCCTTCAGGGTTTGTACAAACAACTTTCTAGTTTCATTTTCATCTAAGGATGGATGAACTTGCACAGATAAATCCCTCCATCTCTGTGGGTACTGTTGAAAACTTTCGTTATGCTTCTTTTCCAAGCTCTGCAGCATAACTCGGTCTGGTTTCATATCATTGATATGTTTGTACTGCTTTAAGAAAGACTTGGCTAAGTCTTTCCACGTCTTGATATGAGTTCGGCTGAGCTGGTTGTACCACCAGATAGCTGAACCGGACAGGCTCTCCTGAAAGCAGTGGATTAAGAGTTGGTCATTTCCCCCGTACCCTGTCATCTTCCGACATAACATAGTGATATGGGCTGAAGGGCAGCTGTTCCCATCGAACTTTTCAAACTCAAGAATTTTAAATTTTGGTGGAAGCACCAAATCGGGAACCAAACTTAGTTCTATTGCATCCACACCATAATAATCATGGTCTCCTTGGACCATCTTCATTTGGTCTTCTAACATCCTGATCTTTTCTTCCATCTTCCTTGCCTTATCATCATCGTTAAAATCCGGGATAGGGCAGTCGTCCGGATGACTGTCAGGTTTCGCCGTAGAAGTCTGTAAATTTGCCGCTGATGCAGTTTTCCCTTTGGCAGCGGATGAGTCACCTTGCAATCCGAGTAAGGTCCCAGATGAGATAACCACTTGTGGGGTTGGTGGTATGGTTAACCCCTCAGATGCACCTTCTCCGGATGCACTTGTCCGTTGTTGTAAACCAGATAACTTAGCCACGATCTGGTCGACTAGGGACTCCGTGCTTTTCTTAATGGACTCCATGGTACGTTGACTGTTCTGAGCCATTTTGTCCTCCAATTCTTTCTGCAGTCTTGCCATGTTCTCCTCAATCCTCTCGATTCTGGCATCCATTTGTTTCTTTTTTGCATGAGTGTTGTGAGGGTGATGCGTATCTAATGCTTGCGGTGGTACACTTGGTGTCTGAGACATGTTCTGTTAGTTAATACGAATGTAAAAACATGAAAAATATAAAATAAAAACAAACATGAAATATAAAATGCAAAAAATGCAATGCATGATATATGCAATTTGGAGGCATTGATCCAGAAAAGTGTCCATTATTATAAACAATCCTTAAACAGACAAAAATGTTTTATCTTTTAAGATACATAAAAACAAATTAAAGGTACATTCGGACTAAATCCTCTAGACCCCTAACAGCTTCTAGTAGGTTGACAAGTCTTCTGCCTTCATCTGTCACTGGTTGAATGCCTTATCGAAACACTCCTGCTTCCCTTGCCAGGCCGTGAAGATGACGAGCCACCTTCTGTACTTGTTCCATGAAATCTCGGATGGTTACGTCTCTGGCCCTCACCCTTCGTTGTGCTTGCTCCCAACGGAAATGCCACTGTAAACCTCCATCAAAGAGCATTATCTGAAGCTCGTTCGCTTGCTTTTTGAACCCATCTACAATAGCTTCTAACTCAGCTATTGTTTTTCCATCCTTTTCATGTTGTTTCTCTAAGTCCGCCACCCGGATTCTCAAGCGTTGGTTCTGATGTTGGCTGTCTGCCAAACACCTTTGAGCAGTCTTCAGTTGTTCCTTCCAAGCTCTTTCATCGGGCCCCTCGAATTTCCTTTTCAGACTGTGAGCTTCGTCTTTCCAGTATTCAGAGCTTACTTTTAACTTGGAGTTATCCTTGACTTTATCTTGATAGCCTTTTCTTAAGTCTTCGAGCTCAAAACGGACTCTTTTCTGTTCCCTTTCCAGTTTGTCTGCTTTATCTTTCTGTGAATCGGCATCGAGCTTCCATTGATAACGTTCAGCTTCAAGTTCCTTAATCCTATACTTAAGCTCATTATTCACAGCTTCAAACTCTGCCTGGCTATCTCAAGTCCAGAAGGGACAGACCTGAGATGTTCCTCCATAGTTCGGGTGTCTTCGCAGTCTGGCACCGAGATGTTATCATTCTTTCTCAATCTTCGCCACTCCACATAGTCCAGAGTAAGCATGTCTCTGGCAGCTACAACATCCATCCGAAATACTTGCTTCCATGACTCGGCTGCTTCCTTGATCATCTTCTTATAACTGTCACCATTATACACAAACTCTAATTTAATTAGTCCGTATGTTGCGGGGACAAACTGACGTGCCCTATACTGTCTCAGTGCCAACAACAAAGCATACCCAACTGCACCCCAAAGTCCAAGTAAAGTTATAGTATCAGAATCCCCACACCGGAAAAGAACGTCACCGAGGAACAACCAGGGGGCTCTACAGGTAATATCCCGATCCTGAAGATGTGTAAAAACTTTCATCCACTTTTCCTTTGAAGCACCTTCATGCCATTTCATTGTGATGAACTCTCCTAAAGGTGAATATGTGGTGCTAAATCGGCGGTAAGCAACCCCGTTAGTCTTCCATAAGTGGCTGTGAATCCAGACTTGAAGGAGCTGAACACACCCAATGAACCTTCCTCCGCCAGATCTACGACAATGATTAAGAGACCGAAAGGTTTCGGCTAAGATGGTCGGTGCTGAGTTGACTCGTCTTGGAAGTTGTTCAAACAATTGTACCACGGCTGCATCAATGCAGCCCAATGCCTTCGGAAAGATAATCAACCCATACAGACCTAGTGCAAAAAGGTCTATAGTCTTCCACTCATCAGGGTGGTTCTTCATTAATTGCCTTATGTGGATCCATTCAATTCCTTCCCCACTGCCTCTGCGCTGAGTTCGGTTAATTACCCATTTTTCGTCTACTCATGCAACTCTGGCCAGTGTATTCTTAAAAAGCTGACTTTTAATGTGTTTAATGTAGGCTCGCTCTAGTTTGATATTTTCACAATGCAGCAGTGTAGTGTATTCTTCAATGGTGGGCACCATGTCCTCCCGGTTAAAAGTGAAGCAACTATATCCCGGGTTCTAGAACTGAACCAGGGCTCTAATTAAGGGCTCATCAGTCTTAACTTGGAGTAAAAGTGTAATGTCACCGTACCGTTGGCTGAACTTCTGTTTTCGATCATTCTTCCAACTGTCCTAGATATCTCGAAGCTCTTGAATTTTGTTCTGTTTTAGGCTGATAGAGGCATAATTAACCAGCTCTGACTCATAGCTTCCTTGAAGACTGTCTCCCTTTTCCTTTTGGGTCTTCTCGGACCATAGTCGTACCTCAGGGTTTTTAATCTCTTGCATTACAACACCTTTGTCCATTAATTCAAATTATTTTGTGTATAACAAACACTTTTTAGGGACCAATAGCCTCTTGTAATGATGCAAATGCTAGAAAACAAACACAAAGGTAAAAACGTTAGTAAAATGAAAACATATAAATAAATATGAAATGACGAAAGAAAAATAAGAAGCGTAAGAAAGAACAAAAACAAGGTTAGGGTAAAAATGTCCTATGGTTTGAAATATGGTTTTGGGGTAGGCTCTATTTCTCCATAGCTTCCCGGTTTAGGTTCTAAAAAATGGTACCCGAGTTCTCCTTGCCGGTGCCCCCTTGGGCTTACTAGACCCTTAGTCCTAAACCCATCACAGGCTTGTGTGGACTAAGTTAAACTCCAGAGGACACATTCCCTTATGCCCATACGGAGAATAAATTCACACGAAGGCATAAGGTATATGAATCCCGAAGGCTACTTGCTAGGCCCATACGGTGAATAAATTCACACGAAGGCGTCGCTTTCACCCCCACTTAAAATGGGTTTGGAGCTCGGGTTTAGAACCTTAAGTGAAAAAAAACTTTGAAGGCTGAAATCATGAGAAAACGATTAGTCAACTATTTACTCGAAAATATAATCAAAAGTAAGTAAAAAGGATCGAAATATTACCTAAAAATTTAAACTTACCCTTTTCGTTAAAAAGACAACTGGAAATTACCTTAGCCTGACTCACTTACCTGTGTCCCCAGCAGAGTCACCAAGCTGTCTGAACCGTCTTTCAGGTGGGCCTCAAAATTGGGCTTCGATTTAGGAAAATGGATTTGGAGTCACCACCGATCATTCATTTAAACGTAAATAGGTTCACCGGATACCTTATTTCTTACCTGATCTGCGTCTTTTACCAGCGATATGTCGGATTCGGGAGTCGGTTACAGTCAAGGAAGGGTTAGCACCCTTGAACTGCCCTTTCGATACTATGTAGTTTCAGTTGTCTTAATTAAGAAAGTTGTACGCTTAAATTAAAAGGTAAAATAACGATCTGAATTGCTTACTTTTGATTGATTTGAAAGCGTACTCTTTTAAAAGTCAAAATATGTGTTAGAAGAGATAAATGAATAATAAAGAACGTAGAACCAATGAAATAAGTAACGTAATAAAAAATAAAGAGGATAAAAAAATAAAATAAAGTAAATACAAAAATGAATAGAATAAATAAAATAAATAGAATGAAGAAAAATAATAACACTAACATATGAAACTAATGAGAATAATGCAAATAAATAAATAAACAACACAAATAAAAGGAAGAAAGAAAGAATAAAAATAAAAGAAAATAGATAAATAAAAGAAAAAACGTATATACATATATATAAGTAAGATAATAATGAAAAAATAATAATATAAAATAGAAAACCGAATGTAATATATATATATACATATAAAATAATGGGAAATATAAATATATATATATATATATATAATAATATTGATGATATAAAAATATATAATAAAGTAAATGAAACGTAAATATATATATTTATAAAAATAATAATAAGAGAAAAAAATAATTAAAAAGAATTAAAATTTAATAACCAAATTGAAGTTAGCCGGGATTAAATTGAAAAGAAAAGAAAATAAGTTGGCCAAATTAGAACGAATTCAGGGCTTAGTATGCCATTTTGGTACCAAAATGAGAGTTTTTAAAGTCAGAGGGGCCAAAAGCGCGGTTTACCCTATTTTTAACGAAAACGCACGGATCCTCCTCGGGTCGGGTCGACACGCGGGTCACCAATGGGTTTAGTATTTAACCCAAAAATTTCGTTTAGTCTCTCATTTTTCTTCTCAAACCAACGAGAGCCTCCCCCTTTCTCCTTTCATCCTCTCCTTTGTTCATCGACGATGAAGAACACAACCGTGCGCCACCTCGCCACCGCCGTTGAACGGCGACGGCCGCCGTTCATCGTCAGCAAAACCCAAATTTTTATTACTTTTTTAAAAGCTTTTCCCTTCCCCATTTTAAATATCCGAATATTTAAAATAAACGGCATCGGGAGGGCTAGATCAAAATAGGTAGATCTCGTTGGCCCTCCCCGTTCATCGGTCAAAAAGCGATTTTTCGGGTTCGATTCGCACCAAACGACAAAGGAAATACAACATGCAAGAGAGTAGAAGAAAAAAACAAGGTAAAGACTACCTCTTTTATTTCCCTTTCGAAATGTTCTATAAGTGCTTGGACACTCCTTGTGTTCGCTATTGTGAAGTTGTGTCTGTGATGATATCTCTGTTTGCTAGCGTATTTTGTTTTTGCAATATATCCCCCCATTCGATGTTTACAAGCTTATTATTTATCATACAAAAGAAATACTATTTTTAGAGATATTGCTTCCGAGTGAAACACTCGATTTTTGACTTGAGGTGTTTGATGTTGACGAGGGAATGTTGGTACCGAGAGAATCGGTGTTAAACGCGACTGCGTGGCGAGGAGTCCTCGGTTGGGACTGGTCTTTCTTGTTGTAGCGCTGGGGGTGAGAAACGGCGCATATGTGAGTAGATAGGAAACTAGGGTTTCCAAACCCTTGTTCACCGGTTTGGGCCACTGCTGTTGGATGTGTTACATTTGCTGGGCCACACGTGATCTGGTCTTGGGCTTGACAGACTGCAAACAAATATATATGTAAACACGTGTACGACATATGTAATAAAAAAATTATATAATATAATATATAATGTAAATATATTATATAATAGCAAAGGACAAAATTTGGTGTCTTCAAATAAAATAGAAAGCGAGAATTTGATGTTTGATAAGCATAAGGACGACGATGTCCAAGTCCAAGACCGATGATTCCTGATCCGCTGTTACATCCTCTATTGGCGATGACTTCGAATCTACTAGCACCAATGACTTCAAGGGGGCTCCAGCCCGCCGCCTGGTCGAGGCTGAGATTGATCCTTCTCTAGACTCTAGATGTGAGTCCCAATGGACCTGACTTCACTCTCCCCGCTGACTCGGATTACTCTTTATACAGTGTACAGTGCCGAATCTAAAAATTTAAAAAGATAGTTTACAAATTTTGATATTCCTTTCTTCAACAAAACGGATATACAAATTTTCATGAGGCTGCATCATGATGTTTACGCACATTTTTCTGGACGCGTTCGATCATTGCCATGAGATAACTAAAATAATTCTGTTACCCCAAACTGGGGGCAACTAGATGAGTTATTAGCCCAAAGGTTTGGGTCTGAGAATTGTCGTTTTGTACACCACTAGAGTAGAGACACCCACATTTTAAAGGAGATTTTCATTGATTTGTTACTTATTTCTTTTTTTAAAGCATTTTAACCTTTAATATTTTTTTTTGAAAATAAATCATACTAAATGAAAAATATTTAATTAATCAACTATCAACACATTTATATACGTTCAATTACTAACGTGGATATGCCACATCACCCAAAATGATGATTTAATGTGCATCACATCAACCAAAAACTAATGTAGCACGTATATCACTCAAAGTGATATCGTGACATGCACCACATTAACAATTAAACAAGTAAAAAATGTTACATCAATAATATGTATTGACTGTTAGTCAACTAACAATTTTCATCTGACAATGATTGTCTTAACTAAAAATTAAATCGTTAGGAGTTGAAAAACTCTTAAATACATAGGAGGAATAGCCAAAATGCGCAAATGATGATAATTTTATCATTATGCCATTTTTTTTATATGAGAAACCAATCCTCGGCCTGTGGAAACTGTCGTGTAGAAGTACATTGAGGTAAGGGGTGTATGAATCTAATCTATTTCTCTAGATTCGATTGTCAAAATTTTGGTGAAGATAGACAATCAAATTATGTTATAAAAGTCTGCTTGAAGAGACACAATTGTGATTAATCTTTGAACCCTTTCACCATTGGTTTTGGAACTATGTACTGCATTTTAGTATTTCCGCTGTATAAAACATCAAGATATCCTTAGTATAAAACATCAAAAATGGTGGATCATTTATCAACAAAGAAAAAAAAACTCCAGTTTATGATTAATGATGCGAAAATCAGCAGTTACTGAAGCAACTGTTGAAGAAATAGCATCAGGATTAGTCAAATCACATTAACTAACGGGGGAAAGAGAGTAAAATAGTTGACAACAATTTCATATTTAGGTGGTTCTTATGATTATTGTTATTCAAACTGAAAAAGCCGTTTTCTTAATCATCGTGTTGTGAAGATTTTAAAATTTTTTCAACACTAGAAGTTGCCAACTTGTTTTAGGTGCTGGAGCCATGCAGGTATGAAATAGTTGTTTAGCTAGGATGTTCTTCCCTAAAGTTTTACTTAGAATAATAGATCTAAAGAGCTTCAAACATTCTCGTATAAAAACTTGATAAAGTAACACTCAGACTCCACAATATTAATCTTATCAAGACCCTAATCAATCTTAGTGTATTGGGGATCTCCTGCTATTGAAAATTTTGATAATTTCTGAGTTAGTTTCATTATAAAACTGAGTGTTGTGCCCATAACTGGTTTGAATTACGCCCAAGGCCCCGTTTAGTTCACGGTATATTTCATTTTAGGGAGGAATGTTTTTTTCCCGGATGAATATACTTACGTTTGGATAGGCCACATTACCAAGTGCTAGTAAAAAATTAATACCAACAGTGATTTTTTTTACTATTTTCCCGAGAATATTAATCCCTCATCTCCCTAAGGTATTTGCTTATTCCCGGTTCCCGTTGTCTAAAATAGCCTTCTCCCCACTTCGTTGTTTTCCAGTAAGATTTCCCCCGGTAAGATTTCTCCTCCACTCCCTTTCTTTTATTTTCCTAGTAATGTTACTTGATTTCCATATTTTGTGGTTTTGTTTCTGTTAACGAAAACCTCTTGAATCTTTTCCTAATGTTGCGTTTGATTCCTATTTTTGACCTCTTATTTTGCGTTTGATTCGTTTCCCCTGCGTTAGATTCGTTTCCTGGTAGTCTATTTTCAGAAAATTAAACTGAATTCGACCTCCATGCTTTTGATTTCAGCTTGTGGTGAGTAAAAGTTTCGTCGTTAGAATCCAAAAACCACATGAAACTCATACTTTCTCTAAATTCGCTTCCTCTTTTATTCATTTTGTTGTCCACAAAGTACACAATTTCGTGCTTTCTCAACTAAGCTTGTTGCTTTTCCTATGTTGTTTAGGGTTTCTTTAGTCCTCCATGCCATGGGTTTTAAGTTTGAGACTTTGTTTCATAAACAAAAATCTTTCAATTGCTTCCTGGGTTCTTTTCCCTTTGTGTTCTTGTGTTCTATTACTTTACCCATTTTGCTGTCGAAAAATACAAAATTGAATATAGAGGTCTACTTTTTAATTGCTTTCTCGTTTCATTTCCCTTTGTGTGTTTGTGTTTTAATTTTTTCTTTTGTGAGAATTTTTCAGGCCTGTACTTCTAATTGAATTATTCTCTTCACTCTCTGTGGAATGGTTTTTCTGTTTATCACTGTTAGGTTGTTAACCTATTTATGATATTGCTTGAGTTTGATTGTTGGTTAATAGAGTAATTACATTAATTTATATCATATTTGGTGCTTGAAGATGTATGGTGAGATATGTCATTCATTATCATGAACCTGGTTTTACTGTTAGGTTGGATAGATTGGTTATAGTGTAAGAAATCTTTATATATGAATAAAAAGTTTTTCCTTTTCTGATAAATAAAGTTACCAGCAGTGAAAATGACAAATTGAATTGGTGGTCTTGAGATTTAACCTTTTTTTGGACAAAATCTGTTGGATTACAGAACAAAGAAAACAAGCTGAATGGTGGGTGCCCGACTCTTGAACTTAATTCTGCTTAGTTTATTTATGGTATGATATATATTTTAGAGAAACAAGCAATTCCTTTTATATGTTTTCTATGTATGTCGGGAATTATGACAATCTGATATTTTTATTGCATATATGGTTGGGTTTTTTTTGTGTTGGATAAGTAGTTCATGTTCCGAGAGAATGTTCTTGAACAAAATTAGGTATCGGTGCAAAGATCCCGAGAAGATGTTTGCTTCTTCATGTTCCATTGGAATCACCTAATATTCAAGAAACTTTGGTTATGAAAGGCTTTAATGGAAACCGTCCGAGCATATGGGCTATAAGGTGAAAATGACTTCTACAATGCTTGGTAGCTGAAATTTCTAAGGATTAACTTTACCCAGAAAAACTTTTTTTCATTTTTTTATTTTGTAGGGACTGCCTGTGATGACTTTGGCAAGTTTTAAAGAGATCTTATTAACAGCCAGTGGAATGACCATGAAGGGTTGCCTCTTCTTGGGAGAGTTTCCTGCATGGCTGGTAGAGACCGAATTTGGTAACAAGGTCTGTTCTATTTTCCATAGTTTGTATATGTTCTTTACTTATATTGTTTTTATTTAGGAAACACACCCCCATGTCTGGTTGTCCATTACACAGAAATGGATGGACAATCTTTTCATGAGCAACGGTTTCAAGGTGGAAATGATTAGCTACGATGAAGTAGCTAAACATTTAGGTAAGGTAGTGAAACCGGGAGATTCTGAGAATATACTATTTGTTGCAGATCAATTGCGGTGTTCGGATGATCAAGTACAATTGATTCTTTTTTTCCAGTTCAAATTGTGAAGCGTGAGAGTGCATTAACTTACATACAGATGAAGGTGTCATTAACCCTAATTCAGCTCATATTGTATCTCACATTTCCTTTTATTGGTTGCTTTTGTGTTGTACATAATAACCGTCTCATTCGTTGATTTCGTTGATGGTGTGAGTTTAAGTAGCGTGTAACTAATGACATATTTGCATTTTTGGAAAAGATGGAAACTTGGAGGAGAGAGCTTCAAAGGGTAGAGGAAGATGGCGACGAGGAAGGGTTTGAGGAACTCTAAATGTAAATATGTTTTTTTGGGGTTTTTTTTGGGTTAGAGCCTGCAATGAAATTATCCTTTCTGTTCCGTTATTTCTTGCTAATTTTCCCCTTTACATGTACATAAGAAGTCTTGAGAATATATATATTTTTCCTTTTGGAATACATAAAAGGCTTCTGTTCTCAGTCTCCACGATCTGGAAAGTAATGTTTGTTAGCAGTTTGTGTGCATATGTATAATCGACTTTGATTCTTGAACCTAATATACTTATATAAAAGTGAAATTTGATTCGACTTAGAAAGTATTTTTTTAAAAATGTTGAATTATTAGAGATAAATTATTGAACTACTTGGGTTAATTTACATTTTTACTTGAATTTTTGAATTTTGAGTTGAAAATTAAAATAATATTGTTTTAATCTTTAATTAATTTGATTATTATGTAATTTTTATTTCATTATTTTTTCAATCTCTCTTTAATTTTAAGTTCATTCTTACTAAATTTAAATCACATGTCTTCAACCCCTTTATAATTATAACGTGTAACTTCAATTTTTCTCACAACAATGGTTTTTTTAATTTAATTCCTCAAATTTATACTTTATTTAATTTGATCTTCTTACTATAATTCTTTTTAAATTATTATTTTTAAGTTGAAATCAATCAATATTGTAACATTATATTTAATTACACTCAGGTTTAAATAACATCTCAACAAATATATTCAATTTAACTAAACTCAAATTTTACAAACTTAATTAAAATAAATAAATAAAATTTAAATGATAAAACAATATCTTTAAACTTAATTTCTTTCCCTTAATTTCGTTGAATAATCTCTCCTGATCAGAACATTGCACTAATTTAATTAGACGAGTGAATCAGCTTTTTAAGACAATGATAATATATTTTTAGATAAATAATATAAAAATTAATATTATTTATAATTAAAATAATACGTGATATATTTACTCTTTTATTCTACCCATTTATCTTTTAAATTTTATAAAAAAATTATAGATAAATTTTATTAAAAAGTATATAAATTTAAAATAATAAAGAAATATATTTTTGATGATTTTTTATATAGAATTCCACTTGTAAAAAGTACATAAATATTTAGAATTCCACTTGTAACACATATAGAACACATAGAACAAGGACAATTTGGTAAAATATACGTTTCAATAATCTTTTATTCTTTCAATCAAATAATGCAACCTTACATTTATGCCAAACAAACCAAACAAAGTAATGTAACACTCCCAGTAATGTATCAGGTAATATTACATTTCGATAATCTTATTCCCGGAGATAATGCTACATTCCATGAACCAAACGCACCCTAAAAAGAAGCGATAAATCATCAAGGCAAACATGAGCTGAAAAAAATGAACAAAATTCGGTCTAGAATCAAATACCACGGGAAAGCATCTGGAAATTACCAATCGAAAAAGAAGCAACACGTTCATGGCAAACTTAGAAATGGAACTTTCAGAGTTAATGACTGGGTGAATCTGAAATACCTTTGGGAGATTCTTTCTTATGTCAACTTCACTGGTTTGTCCTTCAAAATGCAAATCATAGATCTTAAAATTACCCCCATATATATATATATATGGGTTAGGATCTAATTACATAGTGTAAAACTATAAAGTTATATACCATTTTAAGATTGTTGGATGAGCGAAAATCAAAGATTGAGATTAACAGCAGGAAATGAGAAGATATTCACTGAAAAAAAAATTAAAATTAGTCTCAACCTTTGATTTCCCCTTACAATGATAGGTTAAATAACACAGAAGGTTAAATCCAAAAAAAGGTTGAAATACAGGTTAAAGTTTTAATTAGGGCTGTAAATGAGACCAGACAGATCGTGAGCTACTCGAGATCGACTCGATCAAGGCTCGATAAATACTCGGATCGAATTGACTCGACTCGGACTCGAGCTCGAGCTCGACTCGAATTCTTAACGAGCTACTTGATACTCGACTCGAAAAGCTCGTGAGCAGCTCGAAAATATAATATATAAGATTATATATATATTTTTAAAAATTATTAAAAATATTAATATTTATGTATTGATTTTTTTAAAGAGAATACATTAAGATTTTCATGCATTTAAGGTTAGGTTCGAGTTCGAGTTTGAGGCTTCAATCGAGTTAAGTTTAAGAAATTTTTTTCTTCATTTCGAGCCTTTTAGAGCTCTCACGAGCTTCAGTTCAGGATTTCGAGTTCGAGTCGAGATTGAAAATTTTAAGCTCGCGAGTTTTCGAGTCGAACTTAATTTCAGAGTTTTTGAGTCGAGTCGAGCTCAGCAATACTCGAGCTCGACTCGGCTCGTTTACACCCCTAGTTTCAATACAATCTTTGTCTCTTGCGGCTTAACATGTAAATGTTGAAGTGAAAGGAAAACACAATCTACTTCTAATTATTTTTCTAAATAGTTCAACATGAGTGAATTAAAATAACTATATAGATAAAAGTGATAAATTATGCACATTGTTTAAAAAAAAACTAAGACCATAATTAAGTAAAATGGACTGGACTACTTCAATCTAATCAATATAATTATTCAAAGTTTTCAACATTAATTGACTCTTTACTTATAGATTTAACAATATTTCAGAAATCTCGTGCATAATTTTTACCATGCTCTTAATTTAAAAGAGAATTTAATTTCACACCAAATATAACTCATAAAAAGAAACTAAAAGATGTTTGATTATAAAAAAAAACCACCTCAAAGCAAAAAAAAATGATTACCTTACACTAACATTTTGAACATTTAAAAAAATAAGGAAATACAAGAAAAGAAAGAATTTATAATTTAAAAAATAAAAAAGTGGAAATAAATTGCTATTTAAAATGTTTATATCACAAAAAGCTTCATATCCATAATAAAATAGCTCACGATCACAATAAAATCTATAATTATATTACTATAAATATGTTTCTCTTAGAATTATCGTTATTTCTTTTGTAGTGAAGTTTTTTACTGATATAAATCTACTCTCAACTACAAAGAGTCGTATGATTTAATCATATCAATAATAAGTTTACAGATATTTTGTGCTACCACTACGTAAAATTGTTCTACAGCGGCGTTTTGAGAGTAAACGCCACTAACTTTAAACATATAACGGCGTTTACATTCAAAATGCCACCAAATGATAAGTTTTGTATAAAAACATCGTGATAGAGTAGTACTTTAGCCACATTTTTATACAAATACTGTAATAGGGTTCATCTATAGTGGCATTATTTTCAATAAACACCACAAAAGAGTAGTACTTTTGCGACGTTTGTGTGAAAACGCCGTAATAGGGTTAATCTATAGTGGAATTTATTAAAAAAATGCCACAAAAGAGTAGTACTTCAACAGATTTTTTACAAACGCCACAATAATTTGGTATGTTTGTGGCGTTTGATTTTAAGATTTTAAAAACGACGTAAATTTTAAAAATGTTATCTCCCTAACCTTTAGCCCGATATCACCTTTTATTTTCCCTAACTCTTCATCTCATTCTCCACGATAAAGCGTTCTGATCTTTTAAATCTCTTTCTCTTCCCCTCTGTGTGAAAAGAGCAAATCTTCTTGTTATTATAATAATATTATCCTTACTTTTGTTGCAAAGTAATACGGAAACCTAATTTCTAGGGTTTTCAAATTCCTTTGTCTTCTTTGATAAGTTTCGCCCAAAATATTACAGAGAATCATTGTTAAATTTGCTTTTGTTTGTTTCTTCATGGTGGTTTCATTTCCCGTTTGTTTTCGAATCGACGAATTTACCTCCAAAAACAGAATCTTAACCCTCCATTCTGATGACTTTCAGCAGAAGTGAATGGCTCGATTTCATTCTCTATTTCTCCATTTTTTTACCTTCCTCTTCTTCTTCTTCACCACCTTTGTTATCTCTCTTTCCTCTTCGAACTTTGAATCGGATTTTTTGATAATTGATTCGGATTCGGAGGTTCTTTTGCTCTATCAAGACTACTCTACTCCAGCACCTCCTCCTACGCCTCCTCACGCCCCGTCAGTCTCTTGTACTGACGATCTCGGTGGGGTAGGTTCTCTGGATACTACGTGTAAGATTGTGGATGATTTGAACCTCACTCGTGATGTTTATATAGCGGGAAAGGGTAGTTTCTACATACTCCCCGGGGTTAGATTCCATTGCCCTATTTCAGGATGTTCAATAACGGTAGTTACATGTAATTTTTTCCTGTTAAGAGTCATTATTTCATTCTTATTTCTCTTATCGTGTAACCCTCATACCGATGAGGGTGACCCGATCCGATCTGGGGTGTCACATTAGGGCCACCAGAGCGACTCACCGTAAAAATCTTGGAAAAATTAAATTTTTTGTTAAAACATGTAAAATCATAAAACAATTTATAAACATAACAGTAAAATTTAACATTATTAAAAAATAAAGCAGATTCCAGACTCGAATATAAAAACAAAATACAAGCTACATGCCCCCAATCATATGCACTGTACTCTGCAAGCAACGTCTGTGGAACTCCTTTACTTATGTCGAAAGCTACACTGGTTTGATTATTTCAACCTGAAATAGAGAGTCAAAGAATGAGCTTTGGGAAGCTCAATAATACAATACTACCAATTGATGCTACATGATATGCAGATAAATGAAAAGCCGTAAAATTTCCTTATTGACTCAGACTTATACATGTTTTCGGGATGAACTGCGGTACCACTGATATTTATTCGAGTAACAAGCATGAAGATTACAATTCATAGGAAGCATTCAAAGATTCAGGTTCAGGGAATTAAAATAGTATGTCTAGTTTGTTCCAACCAAAACCAGTGAAAATATATAAATCTTTTAAAACAAGAATTGTTTAAAACATATTTTCAAAACCATAGCGGAACCCTCCAACCGTACACGGTTATGCAGTTTCCCAGAACTGCATCCATAAGAGCTTACCCTAAGCACACAACAGAGGGAGCCACCCTAAGGGAATGCTTTGGAGCCCGAGAGCCTACCCAAAAAAGTT